GTAGGGGAAGGAAGGCGGGCTAGGGGTCATCCTCAAAAAGGTTGGAGGGAGGGGGTAAAGGAGGTTTTGTAGGCAAGGGGCTTGGACTTCCAGCAAGCATGCATGAGCGTGTTAGATAGGAGTGAATGGAGACGAATGGTATTTTTAACCTGATGAGCTGTTGGAGTTTGAGCAAGGTAATATTTAGTGAAGGGATTCAAGGAAGCCAGTTATTTTTATATAGCTGGACTTGAGTACTGGAAATGGGAAGTACAGTGCCTGCACTTTAAAGGATATTGGCAGTTTCGAGGAATATGTTGTGTATCTTTATACGTATATGCTTCTAAACTGTCGTGTTCTGAGCACCTCTGCAAAAACAGTGATTATGTATGAGTGAGGTGAAAGTGTTGAATGATGATGAAAGTATTTTCTTTTGGGGATTTTCTTTCTTTTTGGGTCACCCTGCCTCGGTGGGAGATGATCAACTTGTTAAAAAAAAAAATTCACTTTACCTGGTATACTCATTAAACTTCTTTCTTTCTTTCTTTCAACGCTCTGGCCATATCCCACCGAGGCGGGGTGGCCCATAAGGAAAAACAAAAAATTCTCCTTTTACATTTAATAATATATACAGGAGAAGGGGTTACTAGCCCCTTGCTCCTGGCATTTTAGTCACCTCTTACGACATGCAAGGCTTACGGAGAAAGAATTCTGTTTCATTTCCCCATGGAGAAAAGTGGAAATAAACAATAACAAGAACTAATAAGAAAAATAGAAGAAAACCCAAAAGGTATATACATGTATATGTGTGTACATGCTTGTATAGTGTGTCCTAAATGTAAGGAGAAGTAGCAAGATGTATCTGAAATTTTGCATGTTTATGAGACAGAAAAAGGCACCAGCAATCCTACCATCATGTAAAACAGTTACTGGCTTACATTTTACACTCAAATGGCAGGACAGTAGTACCTCCCTGGGTGGTTGCTGTCTACCAACCTACTACCTAGGACTCATTAAACTTATTCCCCTATAGTTTTTACAGTCTGTTTTGTCCCCATTCCCTTTATATAAAGGAATTATACATGCTCTCTGCCAATCCCTAGGTACCTTTCTCTCTTTCATACATTTATTAACCCTTTCATGGTCCACAGGCCCTCTCAGAGACTTGTTCTCAGTGTCCCCCAAATTTCAAAAGAAAAAAAAATTTTTTTTTTGATGAAAAGATAGAGAATCTTTTCCTGATCATAATGACACCAAAAGTATGAAATTTGATGGAAAACTTATGGAATTATGCTTTCCTGAAGTTAGCGGTCTTGACTATGTTTACGCATCGGCGATTTTGCCCACTTTGAGCTCTATTTTCAGCCAATTCCAGTGTACTAGTTGACAAAAATCATACCTATTTCCCTAGAACTCCATTTTTTCTATCGAATGAGTACAAGAAACCACCCATTTACCGATTTCAACTATCCAATACAGTGGTCAGAATTTAGCAATTTTGCCAATTTCACACAAATTTCAAAAGATGCCAGTTTCCAGATAGGGTCCAGAATAAACAAGAAAGACATTCCTGGCACTAAAATAACATTTCCTCTGTTCATTAGTCACGTCCCCATGCCCCTCTTACATTCTTTTGCTTTCTATTTTTAACTTTTATTCTCACAAAAAATAGAAGATTTACTGTTATGCAGACTACTGCATTAGTGTAGAAATTGTATAAATAATATCAGCGCACTTGTGAAAGAATATTAGACTCACCAGTTGATGTGTATTGGACGCTTAGCATGATTTGTTTACTTTTGAATTTTGGTAAAAATCGAACATTTCTGCTACTTTGAGCTCAATTTCAAGGTACTTTTCATTGTAAAACCAGTCAAAATCATCTCAATTTCTGTAATATGTCTTCCATTCTATCAAATGAGACCAGGAAAACTAGAATACAACAATAAATACCATACGAAAATACAGTGCAAAGTCGCTGTTTTAATCCAAAAAGACAGTCAAAGTTTTTTTTTTTCTCATTACGCACTGTGTGCTGCAGGATTTTTTTTATACTGTGCACACTGACCACATAGTCCCATTCTTTCATATGTAGGCCTACCAGGTTTCTCTCACTAGATTGGAAGGCGCTAGAATTTATCAGTACTAGTACGTCAAGGACCCTGGCACATAAGCCGTACTAGTACGGCCGAAACCCTGAAAGGGTTAAACAAAAATACCAACCTCTCCAGCACTACATATCCCCCTGCTTTTAACATTTCTGTCATGATCCTGTCAGTTCCAACTGCTTTACCACTTTTCATTCTACGTAATGCCTCATGCACCTCCCCCACACTCACATCTTACTCTTCTTCATGCCTAGATGATGTTATACCTCCCTGGCCAGTGCATGAAATTACTTCCTCCCTGTCTTCATCATTTAAAAGCTCCTCAAAATATTCCCACCATCTACCCAATACCTCCAGTTCCCCATATACTAACTCTCTTACTCTGTTTTTAACTGACAAATCCATTCGTTCCCTAGTCTTTCTTAACCTGTTTATCTCAACAATTTTTTCCTATTCTCTGCAAAATTTCTTGACAGTTCCTCTCCCACTATATCATTTGTCCTCGTTTTGTACCCTCGCACCACTCTCTTCACCTTTCTTTTACTCTCCATATACTCTGGCCTTCTTATATCACTTCTGCTTTGTTAAAAACTTTTATAAACTACGTTTTCCTCTTTTATTGCACCCTTTACCTCATCATTTCACCAATCACTCCTCTTTCCTCCTGCATCCACCCTCCTATAGTCACAAACTTCTGTCCCACATTCTAATACTGCATTTTTAAAACTATCCCATTCCTCTTCAAACCCCCCACTTCCCATACTTGCACTAGCCCACCTTTCTGCCATAGTTGCTCATATATCACCCAAACTTCCTCTTCTATTAGTTTACAAACTTTCACCTCTTACTTACTGTTGCCATTTTCCTTTTGTCCCATCTACCTCTTACTCTAACTGTAGCTGCAACTAAGTAATGATCTGATACATCCATTGCCCCTCTATAAACATGCACATCCTGAAGCCTACCCATCAACCTTTTATCCACCAATACATAATCTAACAGATTACTTTCATTATGTGCTATATTGTACCTTGTATACTTATCCTCTTTTTCATAAAATATGTATTACTTATTACCGAGCCTCTTTCTACACATAGTTCAATTAAAGGCTTCCCATTTTCATTTACCCTTGGCACCCCAAATTTTCCTGCTACTCCCTCCACAACCCTTTTACCCACTTTTGCATTAAGATCCCCAACCACAAGTACTCTCTCACTTACTTCAAAACTCCCCACACACTCAGTCAACATTTCTCCAAATCTCTCTCTCCTCTACACTTCTTTCTTCTCCAGGTGCATAAACACTTACTATAATTCACTATTCACATCCACCCCTTATTTTACTCCACACAATCCTTGAATTTTTACATTTATATTCCCTCTTTTCCTGCCATAACTTATCCTACCACATTATTTCTACTTCTTCCTCCTGTATTGAAACCCCTGACCTCATCTCATTTATTTCTCCCCACTGAAACTCTCCTATCCCATTCAGCTTGGTTTCACTTAGAGCCAGAACATCCAGCTTCTTTTCATTCATAACATCCACAATCATCTCTTTCTTATCATTCGCACTCCATTTACGCACATTCAAACATCCCTCATTGACATTTTTCTTCTTTTTCTTTTTAGTAAGCTCTACTGGAAAAAGGGGTTACTAGCCCATTGCTCCCAGCATTGTAGTTTACTTTTGCAACATGCAATGGTTATGGAAGAAAGATTCTTATTCCACTTCCTCATGTATTTGAAAGGAAAAGTAATAGAGAACAAGAACTATAAGATAAAATCAAAGAAAATTCAGATGAGCGTGTATACGTAAACATGTACATGCATTTGTAGTGTGACCTAAGTGTAAGTAGAAGCACCAAGATGTACCTGAAATCTTGCATGCTTATGAGAAAGACAAAAGATACCAGCAATCCTACCAGCATGTAAAACAAATACAGGTTTCCGTTTTACACTCGCTTGGCAGGACGGTAGTACCTCTCTGGGCAGTTACTGTGTACCAACCGATATAACAGTTAAATTTATGGTTAAACTGCACTTTTAACTCCTTTATTTTCAGTGTTTATGTCTGTAAATTGTGTATAGAATGCTATATTAGGTATACTGTAGAGTATGTACTTTAGTGTATTTTATACACTTGGCAAATCCTCCCTGATAGTCCATTATAATGAAGGTTTACTGTACCTGATAATATGTACATGGAAAATACTTGAGGGACTAATCCCATAACAATGTACTGGAGTGACAGATAAGGGAGGAAGTGTAAAGTAGACACGGTTAAAAGCAAGAGTACTAGCTGTGGTCCAAGACTATTCAGCCTGCTACCAGCAGATAACATTAACAGTGCAAGAACAAGTGGGGAGGTTTTCAAGAGGAAGCTGAATCAATACCTCTTAAGAAAATGTCTGATCAACCAGGTAATGGTGGTTATGTGGACCAGCAATTGGCTACCACTAGGAACATCCTACTTGAACAAGCAAGAATCAGAAACCACTAGATCCAGGCTAGGCTGTGAGGGTAGACAAACACTCAGAATTGGTTATATGTATGTCATTTTTAAAAAAATTGCACCTTCAAATCCTATATTCTCTGAATTTAATCTGCTTAGATGAAAAAATTTATTATCAAAGTGCATTAAGTAGATGTATCAAAATACATTAGTTCGCCTGCACAATATACCATTTGAGCAAATGATTTTATGTGTACAGGTGATGTAAGGTGCAGGTACTGCATTGCATGGGTACAGGTGCAGGTATGCTGTGGGTTCATGTGCTGCAAGGGTAAATATGGATAAAAAATAAATATTTTATTCTGGTCCTGAGCTTAAGGTCACATGCTGTTCTTATAGATGCTTTAACTGTGCAATTTTAGCTAGTAATATCATAGTCATGTGATTTATTCCTTATAGATGATGGTGAAGGATGGGAAGTTGTTCGTCGAGGAAGGCGTAGTCACGGGGGTAGTACAGCATCACTCAATAGCAACAATCACCATGGTCATAACAGTCATTCCATCAAGGACACTCGAAGTGGCAGCTTGAAGATGGATGGTGAGTATAGTTTTTTTTTAACACTGTCCATCTCCCACTAAGGTAGGATGGCTTGAAAAAGAAGAAACCCTCTCATCATCACTCTTATCACTTATAACGAGATTATTTTGTGAGCTGGTAGCGGGGTTCAATGATAAACGTTTTCGGAGGCTTCTTACTTTATTTGCAAAGTTGTGGTGGGTACACAGGCTTGTGTGTTTGCCCCCATGGCTCGGGAGGGCCATGCCCACGAGGGAGAGAGGGAGTAGAACTGTTGACTGCTTCTAGGCCGCTGAGTGAGTGAGCAAGTGGGACCAGTGTCCCACTGACCTGGGCAGGCCTAGAGGGCAGCACCTGAATGCCGCGAAATATGAACTAAGCTGGCAGACAGCATAGGCTGTCTGTGTAGACAGTACAGGCTGTCTACATATGCTCGGCCACCTACCACACGATCGTCTCGACCATGTCTGGCAGAAAAAAACTTGGTCTCTCTCCCGTAGGAACAGGGCACAGAACACAAAATAAAAAACATGTACATTGGACCCCCGCCTTACAATCAGCTCCCAACTCGACCAATTATGTAAGTGCTTTTGTACGTGTATTTTTGGGGGTCTGAAACGGACTAATCTAATTCACAATATTCTTTATGGGAACAAATTCGGTCTATAATGGCACCTGAACAGACCTCTGGAATGAAGTAATATCGTAAGGCGGAGTCCACTGTATATACATATGGACATGGGAAAAAAAACTTCCTACAGGGAGGGAAGAAAAAAACATGTGGGGTGTGCTAAGCATCGTGATCATAGGCAGTGAGCGTCGATGGGCATCACTGCACGCCTTCCTGCGTCTGGACAGATACTGCAACACAGGAGACATCGCTGCATCTGAGCTGTGACATAACGGGGTACGGTCTCCTCTAGAACGGTGAAGCAGTCGTCGTAGGAGTCACTGCAGGTTTCACTTAACCTGGGGCATGACATGCTGGTGCCCTCGAGTGAGGCATCGTCAAAACTCGGCAACTGGGCAGGACTTCTGGCAAGCGACTCAGGAGGACACTTCTCGACTGGTACTGTCGCTGGGCTGTCACTGCCGGCGAGCGTGGAGTAAGTCGTGGAGCGAGTCGTGGCAGAGACGACTGGGTGAAGCATCTGGGAGAAGCATCTGGGAGTCGTAACATCATACGCCAGACTGCAGTGAGCGAGCTAGCAGTCAAAGTGACATCAGCTTTGTGTAGGAGCTCACTGAAACTATGACAGGAGGCTGACACAGCACCTGCCGACAGGGCTAACTGCGGCTTGACGAATGTCATTCTCTCGGCAGTTGGAGTTATAGCAGAGGTTAGTCTAAGCGTCCCCTGACTTGTTTCTCTACATAGAACTGCACTCTGAAGGTCTGGAGGTGAAGTGAAACAAATCTCGATGGGAATCGTAGCAGGTACAATTCTACAGAACATCTATGAGCGACGAGCATAAGAGCTTTCTGTACAAGGGGCTCATACGCTTAGGGCTGACTAATATCAGCTGTCAAATGCGCTGGTCACACCGGGTGACAACACAAGGTGCTACACAGGGTTCTGGCTGCAGACCTGTGGTTGACACACAGCTGGGCTCAAGACCACACAGGACACACGGAAAACTTTACACGCACCCATGGTACATGCCATACAACATGGGTTAAACTAGCAAATGATGCTTTTCTGTGCACAAAATTGACACTAAGCCATACACTAACATGTGAGAACACTGACTGAGAGGAATTAATTAACACGACATATATCTTCTCTCAATCTTCTCGACAATACTGACATAATTACTGAAACACTCGATGTGACATCATGTGATGTCAGGCGTGATGTCGCGAGGTGACGTCAGCAGCACTGTGACGTAAGCAGACATCTTGAGGTGACATCAGGCAGACATCGTGACGTTATGAAGTCGGGCAACAGCAGACCACAGCATGTGGCCTGGGACGTCGGGCTCGGTAACTCGTGGCTCGTAGGCCCACGTGGCATCGTCCACATCCCATGTGGCGTCGGGATCCACGTGGCGTTGTGAGCTATGTGGCATGCTGATCCACGTAGCTTCGAGTGGCCTCGGACACTCTGATACACAGCTCTGGCAATAAATTCACACGGAAAACAGCAGAAAACACAGCAGAGGGAGTGGGCAGTGGTGAGTTGAGAAACAGCATGGGACGCTGTAGCGTGGGGTCACTGGGATGCCACTTACAATTCTCGAAGAAATTCGGCAAATTTCGGCTAGATCCTGCTTGTACCTGTCTCTGGATGCTGAAACATGCAGACACGACATCAGGATAACTCGTTGAGAGACGGATGTTTCTTGTGTAGAGTGATGAAGTGAGCACAGCTTTATTCTATTTCCTTTCTCTCTCCAGGCAAACACACTTGCTGCGACCATCGCTCCCCACCATTTATAACCAGTTTGTTTGGTGGCTCTTGCAGAGCGGGGTTCAATGATAAATGTCTTCGGAGGCTTCTTTACTTTACTTTGCAATGTCGTGGTGGGTACACAGGCTTGTGTGTTTGTCCCCATGGCCCGGGAGGGCCATGCCCATGAGGGAGAGAGGGAGTAGAACTGTTGACTGCTTCTAGGCCGCTGAGTGAGTGAGCGAGTGGGACCAGTGTCCCACTGACCTGGGCAGGCCTAGAGGGCAGCACCTGAGTGCCGCAAAATATGAACTAAGCTGGCAGACAGCATAGGCTGTCTGTGTGGACAGTACAGTGTGCCACAGGCACACTGACATTACAGCTTAGATGCCCCTCCAGATTGTAGTATCCACACCTCTCCTTCAGAGTTCAAGTACTGTACTTTCCACCTCCTGGATTCAAGTCTGGCTGTCCAGTTTCCGAAAATTCCTTTGTAAACGCTACCGTGCTCTCACTTGAACAGCACATCAAGTCACAAAAACCACTTGCCTCCACTCATTTCTGTCTAACACACTCACATATGCCTGTTGGATTTCAAAGCCCCTAACATAAAAAAGCCACCTTTACTCCCCTCCCTCCAACCTTTCCTTGGAAGTCCTCTATCCCTCCTTCCCTCTGCAGATTTATACACCCTCTAAGTCTAAGTCATCCTATTATGCTCTGTCCTCTCCAAATGTTCAAACCCTCTTCAGCTCTCTCGGTAATACTTTTTGTAACCTTGCACCTTCAAATCTCAAAACTATGAATTCTTTTCATAATATTCACACCCCATAGTGCCCTCAGACATGACATCTCCACTGCCTGCAGCCTCCTACTTGCAGAAATGTTTAAAACCCATGCTTCACACCCATATAAGAGTTTGGGTACCACTATACTCTAAAACATTTCCATTTTTGCTCCTTGGATAACATTGTCTCCACAGAATCCTTAACCCTTTGAGGGTTGAGAGGCCCTCTCCGAGACTCGTTCTCAGGGTCGGCCAAATTTAAAAAAAAAAAAAAAAATTTCTCATGAAAAGATAGAGAATCTTTTCCCGATCATAATGACTCCAAAATTATGAAATTTGATGGAAAACTGATGGAATTATGCTCTCGCGAAGTTAGCGGTCTCGGCGATGTTTACACATCGGCGATTTTGCCCACTTTGAGCCCCATTTTTGGCCAATTCCACTGTACTAGTCGACAAAAAACATGAATATTTCGCTAGAACTCCAATTTTTCCAATTTCACACAAATTTCAAAAGATGCCAATTTCTGAATAGGGTCCAGAATAAACAAGAAAGACATTTCTGGCACTAAAATGACATTTCCTCTGTTCATTAGTCACGTCTCAAGGCCCCTCTTACATTCTTTTGCTTTCCACTTTGAATTTTTATTCTCACAAAAAATAGAAGATTTACTGTTATGCAGGCTACTGCATTAGTGTAAAAAATGGTATAAATAATATTGGTGCACTTAAGAACATAAGAACGAAGGAACACTGCAGCAGGCCTACTGGCCCATGCGAGGCAGGTCCAAGTCTCCTACCGGCTTAAGCCAATGCACCCAACCTAGTCAGGTCAGGTCACATTGACTTAAGGGAGGAACACGGCAACCGACCTGGTAGCACAAGCTATCAGGTCCAACTCACACCCACCCACATCCACTCATGTATTTATCCAACCTATTTTTAAAGCTACACAATGTTCTGGCCTCTATAACTGTACTTGGGAGTTTATTCCACTCATCCACAACTCTATTACCAAACCAGCACTTTCCTATATCCTTCCTGAATCTGAATTTTTCCAACTTAAAACCATTGCTGCGAGTCCTGTCTAGGCTAGATATTTTCAGCACACTATTTACATCCCCTTTATTTATTCCTGTCTTCCATTTATACACCTCAATCATATCCCCCCTAATTCTGTCTCTCTCTAGAGAGTGCAGATTCAGGGCCCTTAGTCTATCCTCATAGGGAAGGTTTCTGATACATGGGATCAACTTTGTCATCCTTCTTTCTACATTTTCCAGAGCATTTATATCTATTCTGTAATATGGTGACCAAAACTGTGCAGCATAATCTAAATGAGGCCTAACCAAGGATGTATAGAGTTGAAGAACAACCTGAGGACTCGTATTATTTATGCTTCTTGATATGAAGCCAAGGATTCTATTAGCTTTATTGCGAACACTTATGCACTGTTGTCTTGGTTTCAGATTACTGCTAACTAGAACTCCTAACTCTTTTTCGCAATCCGTAATATTAAGATCTACATTATTTAGTTTATATGTGGCTTGGTTATTGTTCTGTCTAACATTTAGAACTTTGCATTTGTCTATATTAAACTGCATCTGCCACTTCTCCAACCACTGCATCAGTCTATTCAAATCTTTCTGGAGTGCTCTAATGTCCTCGTCAGAATGAATTCAACGGCCTATTTTGGTGTCATCGGCAAACTTGCTGATGTTGCTCTTTATGCCCTCATCTATGTCGTTTATGTAGATTGTGAACAGCAGGGGGCCCAACACTGACCCCTGTGGAACACCGCTCGTGACGCTTCCCCACTCTGATTTCTCCCCATTTATGCAAACTC